CAAAAACTAAGTAAAAGTAAAAGTCAGGTATTGACAGGAGGGAAGGCCTGCCTAAAGAGCCAAGTGTTTAATTGGCTCTTAAAAACACCCAGAGAGGGTGCCAGGCAGATCTTTGATGGCAGGCTGTTCCAAAGTCGAGGGGCCACTGCTGAGAAAGCCCAGTTTCTTGTTCTTTCTTTCCGGGCCTCTCTCAGCGTTAGGCCCCTCAGCTGTCTTTCCTGGCTATAGCGAGTGACTCGAGTAGATCTAGGTGGGAGAAGGCGTTCTGCTAGGTATCGAGGTCCTAAACCATTTAGGGCTTTGTATGTCATCATTAACACTTTGAAATCAATGCGGAAACGAATGGGCAGCCAATGCAAGGCAGCCAGAGTGGGAGAGAGATGCTGGTGTTTTGTCGTTCCACTGAGTAATCTGGCTGCCGCATTCTGCACCATTTGAAGCCTCCGCATCAATCTCAAAGGTAGCCCCACATAGACTGCATTGTATTATACCTCCACTACCCAAAGCCTCAATTCCACTCACACTGTATCCTAGTTAATATCAGGCCTTTGTATCACTGATATCACCCTCTATTTGCCAGATACATGGGTACCAAAAGGACATAGAAAGACAAAAAAGAGGACAGAGGAGGATGTAATGAATGTTTCATTTGAATCGTGTCGGATTAAACCTGCAATCAATACAATTTTATTAAAGTAGCTGCCAATAAATGTTTCTTAGTGAACCAACCAGGAAATAGCCATGTTAAAAAATAAAAATAAATTCAATGGAGGCTTTTTTCCAAAATAACAAACAAAAAAAATTATTTAAACAGCCAATTGTACCCGAACCCACCCTGGCCCGGCTGTGGGATCCCCTGGCTGCTCGCACTCTGCACAGGGTGAGAGGCAACCTTGCTAATCCGGATGCCCAAACAAGGCTTTGGCGCAGGCAGGGGGAAAGCGGCACTGGGCAAAACCGAATGAGGCAGCCTCCCCTCCCCCGAGGGTCATAGGTTCCAGGCTGGGGAGCGTGGGAGTTGGAGTCCCCGAAAAGGACTTGGAACACACACAGTCCGGGTGCTCGCCTTCCCATCGATGCGCTCGGGTGCTGCTTGCTCCTGCCTGGCTCGGTGGATGGCGCTCTACTTGCGCTGCTTTTCTGGGCTCCACATGGGCTGGGCGGGCCTTGCGGATTGCTGGGCAGCCGCCGCTGTGGTGGGAGAGGGCGAGGGATGTGCTCCAGCGCCAGCGGCAGGTAACGGGGGGGCTGGCGGGTGAAGACAGGGGAGGGGGCTCCTTCCACCTGTCCCCCTTCCATCCAAAATTATAACATAAAATATACAAAAGCCTGACATTTTAAAGGTTTTTATCTTTGCCTGCAACACAGAGGACATTAGGCTAAAATGTCTGGCAATGCAACCTCGATGCCTCCCAATATTAGTTCAAGGTCCAGCTCACTCTATGTTCTTCCACATCCACACTGGCTCTTCTCCCAAAAGCCAAAACAAATACTGTAAATTCAACCACTGAAAAGTCAAATGACTCAGGATGAGAATACAGAAAGGCAAGCAAGAAACATTCTAGCTCTTTAGTCATTCAGGGCTCTTCTTTCATAAAGAGTGGCCATCCACAACCCATGTCCTCTTTTATGCAAGTGAGTTAACATAAAATCCACCCTTCTCTTGACAGGAGTTGAGTTTATCTGGTGCAATAGTCATGTCTCCTCTAAAGACATGTAGAATATAGACAGTGTGGCATGGTGGTTATAACAGGAAAAGAGACTTGAGAAACCGGAGTTCAACTCCCTGCTTGGCCATGAAAGACACTGAGAAACCTTGGGCCAGTCACAATGTCCTAACTGGACCTACATGATAGCATAATTGTGAAGATAAAGAGGGGGAAAAGAAACATAGAAACCTTGACAACAGTGAAAATGGCTAAACATGGCTCCCTCCTTTGGTTCATTGGAGGAAAGGCAGGATATCAATGAAACATTGGACAATAAGAAAGAGATATGGAAAAGTCTATTTAAGAATAATTGGCTCAAGTATTTATCCTTCTAGGAATATTGAAATACTATTTTCCAAAGCTTTGTTCTGTTTTATCAGTCTTGATTTAGCAGTCTCTATGTCTTCAGTATCTTTAGGTAAGACTAAATTTGTTCCTGCATCTACAGTATCTGTTCCTGTGTTAAGTGTTCAAACAGTACATTTAGATGAGCTATGAAACTTAAGTTGCATCTTAAGGAATGAATTAAAAGCAAAGTACTCAAAATATAGAATAAAAACATTTTGATGATTGCAAGGCTACATATTGTAGCATTTTTTCAGCAAATAATCTTTTAAATCCTAAAACATTTTAACCACTTTGGTAGAACATCCGTATCAGCAGTTTATCTGTTGAAATGTACTGTGGCAAATGTAAAACAGTTTTTTTTGACAATGTGTAGGCAGAATTATGTTTTAAGGAGGTTCCAGGAAAGAGCCATATTTATCATCTTGTCTCTGTTGTCAAGGTAACCGTGTTTCCTTCTTGGGGAGCACACTTGATAGGGAGCCTAACTTCCCTGTATCTAATTATTGTTAGCTATTACACTTTCAATTTATGTTGTGTCAGTTTTCTTGTAAAACATCTAGTTCCACCTTATCACATCCCTGCATTAGGACGAAACTTGTGGAACAGCCCGTGTATTAGTGTGCAGGTTGTGCTGAATTCCTGTAAAACTGGGATGTGCGTGATCTCGAGTACAAGAGAGGTCTGAAAAGGTCTGCTACTGCATGTCCACATAGCAGCATCCAGCAACCATTTTTCTTGGAGAACATTGGAACATTATGGTAAAATTATGAAAGCTTCCTTTCCTTTCCATTTCTCTCCTCTTGTCTCCTTTTTAAAGCTTTGAACCTGTGAAGGTGTGCTGGACTACATAAAGCAAATTCCAGAGCATTCCCTTGTAACAGTCCATTCAGAAACCAGGTCCATTTCCAAAACCCCCAGAGACAGAATCTGTAACAAATTCATAGAGTCATAGAATAGTGAAGTTGGAAGGCCATCAAGTCCAACCCCCTGCTCAATGCAGGAATACATCAAGGAAATATCTGCCAGGTGGTTGTCTAAGTTTCTTTTTAATCTCACAGGTGTTGGAACACTCACCACCTCTCAAGCTAATTGGTTACACTCTCTTACTGCTCTAACAGTTAGGAAGTTTTTCCTGATAGTCAGTTGAAATCCGGCTTCCTGTAACTTGAGCCCATTGTTGCATGTCCTGCACTCTGGGATGATCGAGAACAGATCCTGCCCCTCCTCTGTATAACAACCTTTCAAGTATTTGAAAAGTGTTATCATATCGTCTCTCTGTCTTTTTCCCCTCAAGGCTAAACATGCCCAATTCTTTCAGTCTTTCTTCATAGGGCTTAGTTTCTAGTCCCCTGATCATCCATGTTGCCCTCTTCTGAACTTGTTCCAATTTGTCAGAATCGTTCCTGAAGCATGGTGTCCAGAACTGGACACAATACTCACGGTGAGGCCTAACCAGTGCTGAATAGAGGGGAACTAGCACCTTGTGAGATTTAGAAACTGTACTTCTGTTAATGCAGCCTAAAATTTGTCACTTTTGTAGCCGCATTACACTGTTGGCTCATATTCAACTTGTGATCTACCACAATTCCAAGATCGTTCTCACTTGTAGTGTTGCTGAGCCAGGTATCCCCCATCTTGTAACTGTGCATTTGGTTTCTTTTTCTGAGGTGCAGTAGTCTGCACTTATCCCTGTTGAATTTCATTCTGTTGCTTTCAGTCCAGTGCTCCAGCCTATCAAGATCATTTTGAATTTTTTTTCTGTTTTCCAGAGTATTAGCTATTCCACCCAATTTTGTGTCATCCACAAATCTGATAAGCATTCTCTGCACTCTGTCATCCAAGTCATTAATGAAAATGTTGGAGCACCGGACCCAGGACTGGGCTTTGGGGTACCCCACTTGTTACCTCCTCCCAGTTGGAGGAGTCAATCATCACCCCTCTGAGTACAAATTTGTAGCCAATTGTGTATCCACCTGATACTTGATCTATCCATCTCATATCTATTTAGCTTGCTAATCAGCATATCATGGGTCAAAAGCTTTGCTAAAGTTAAGATATACTATGTCTACAGCATAGTAGGGAGGTTACCCAATCAAAAAATGAGGTCACATTGGGCAGATAATGTGAGGGAAAGAGTAGGTAGGAAAAGCTGCTGGAACATTTCCAGCTCTGTAGTCTGGTGTTTAGTTACATAACACTGACACTGGTACTCCAATGCTCTCTTAGCTGCCATTATTGAATAACTGAAATTGGTCTGAAGAATCAACATTGTCCTGGATCAATATTTATTCATTTATTGGACTTATATACCGCCCCATAGCACTACAAGCACTCTCCGGGCGGTTTACAATTTTTAATTATACAGGCTACACATTGCCCCCCCAGCAAGCTGGGTACTCATTTTACCGACCTCGGAAGGATGGAAGGCTGAGTCAACCTTGAGCCGGCTATCTGGGATTTGAACCCCCGGTCGTGAGCACAGTTTTAGCTGCAGTACAGCGTTTTAACCACTGCGCCACGAGGCTCCTAATGCAGTATATTTAAGATTTTTTGGTACACGTTACAATATCATTTTAACTTGTGAAATTGACTAGGCTGTCTTTATTCAAAAAGTATTATCAGGAGGGTGTGCCCCCCCCCAAAGGCTTGCTTGTTCTATAATTGCAGTCTTCTCCAAATGGGAATCATATAGCTTAAAAAATAGGAATATCAGTGAGTTAAGCTTACTGTTTGTATGAAGGTTGTATCTGAAATGGGCAGTGACATTTTGTCATAGTCAAGAATCTCTGATAATCTAAATGTCCAAATCAGCTGAATTTATGAGCTATCTTCCTTGTGCCTTGGTAGAAAATTTATGAAATGTTGATGTTGCTAAATTTGTATAGCTTAAAATTCACGATATATTTTTAGCTATTTGAACATAGATGCAGGAAGTTATTGACTTCTCTTGTTTTAAGAATGGTCACTAGTAAAGACATCTGTGATGCATTTCACTCCACTCAAAGCTGCATTGCTCAGATAAGACCCTTGAAGTGTTGCCTAAATAAGGAAGAAACAGTGGAGAGATTAAGCTTGACACAAGACAAGAGTGGCACAGGCATTGAACAGGTTGTGCTGGAGACGACCTATTTTACCTTCTTGACTTCTGCTTTTCTAACAGAAATAAAAATGACAATGGCTTTTCAAGAATATAGGAACAATGAAAATGAAGAAGAGGAGGAGAAAGAAGAAGAAGAAGAAGATGGTGAAAAGGTGGGTAGATGTGACACATTTTGTTGAGTGTTGAAATATGTTTTTAATATGATCTATATTCATTTTTGGAATACCTTCTTCTTTCTCCTTTAGGTGTTTTTTAAACATATTGTTGAAGATAAAAACATGGAACTTGCTAGAAGATGTTCTGAACTGATAAGCAATGTAAGTATAGGTTTCCAGCATTTTAAAATCAATTCTTTATAATATTATTTCTCATAGATTTAACTAGAAGTGAACAATTTCTCCCCCTGAAAACATGTATGCATGAGTATGAAGAGCCTGGCAGGCTTACTTTAAGATGGCATTGTATACCTGGTTGGTATCCTTTTAGATTATTTATTTTACCTGTTTTTTTTTTCATTGTGGCATGTAGCATGTGTTGCCCTACATAGTAGATGCATTTCACTGCTTCATTAGGCCATCTGTCCTACTAGGTCAGAATGTGGTTCTTTAAGAAAAATCCTTGGATTTGGTTACTGGTGATCCTTATTATTGTTTTCCTCCCTACTGCTTTTATTTTGATACATATTTTTAAAGATTTACATATTCTCCAATACTGTATATATGTTTTAAAATTTGTTGTCTGTCTTGCATTCTTATTTACAAGAAAGGCAGAATTAAGTTCTCCTAATAAATAAGCATAAATTCCAGTTGTGATGTCACTAAAACAGCAATTGGACGTGCCATGATCTCTTGGGTTTAGAACCATTATCTGAAACAGAAAGGTAATAATATTGGTCTCTGTTGGAATGCTATATTAAAAGCAACTTGAACACTTAAAATGCTCCATGCTTCTGTCATGCCCATAGTATTATGTCCTGTTGATTCCAATGAAAATTACTTGCTTAAAACTTTGTCACTCAAAATCACCCCGGGACTTAACTACGTATATTTAATTTCAGCTGACTTGTGCCTCAGAGCAAAGCAAAGCAAAGCACATAACAAAACTGCTTTCATCTCATATATGCAACAGGAAGTGTGTCAGGCCCAGTATGGATAATATGAGGCAGAGTCATCACCTTCTATAAAGAACCTTCTTCCTGTAGGCCATTGTAAGCTCTTTCCACTGGTTTAATGAAATTCTTTGGAAGTCTGCCAGTATGAGGATAGGGGTGGTGATGACAGGAATGTTTTAAGTGTTCTCATCTTACCCCCCTTTGCACCTCTCTGTCTTATTCCTAATATTGACTCAAGCTTAGTGTCTCATTGTGTTATGTGCCACAAAGCACAGGATGTTGCTTGATGATTGCCAGTAAATGTACTGAGCTGAATTTAAAACGGTACTGTTTTTTCCCCTTGAAGTAGTTCAGTTAATACAGTGGCTGAAGTCATGTTGCTTAGTGTAGGGAGTTGCACTTGAACAGGCTTATTGGCTCAACGGGGATTTGATGAGTCACCTCCTTTGTATATTCCATTGATTCAAATGGACCTGCTCTAGTTGCAATATACTATGCTAAAGTAAGCTGCAAATAAAGCAGGTCCATTTGAATCAATGGAACCTATGGAAGAGTTGACTCCTCAGATTCCTCCTCATTCAGTGGACCTAACCTAGTGCAACTTATGAGCTAAGCAACAGGATTTCAGTCGGTGTCACTGAATTGTGTTTAGGGATTAATATATTGGATCTCTGGTAAAAAAGATACAAAAATGAAGAGTGAAAAAGCTCATTTCTCACATTGAAGAGAAAGGAAGTATTCTAGATACCAAACCGTACTAGATGAGTTTGAGTACTGATGATAAAATCTCCTGAAATATGATGCAAGATTATTCGATATAAAAATCTGTTTCTCATTCTCACCTGGTTTGAACATACCCTTGTTGATGGATTATGTGTTTTGGTTGTTTAAATTTTCATAGGAATAAAAAAATATTTTTCAAGAAAACAAGTATCTTTATTTTGGTTTTACATGATTCCACATCTACTAAAGGACCATGGCTAGCACATTAAAAAAACTTGTGGTACCTTAAAGACTAACAGATGTTATCTATATAGTACATATTCACAGATGGCAGCCCACTTCAAATGCATGCTTCTATCTTTGAATATCGTCACTGCATTGAGATAACAAACATATGCCAAATAAATCTTGTTAGCCTTCAAGGTGACTCGAGATTCTTTGTTTCTTTAGTTCTGAAAAGTAACTTTTCTAAGTTTTGTTTCTTCTTGGCTATTTTGGTATTAAGATATTGTGTTTTAAATGTAAAAATAAAGTCTTTTGTGTTTATACATATAAACACACATATGCAGATACACTCAGTCTCAAATACTTTTTCTTTCCCCTTTCCAACCCTTTTGTTATCTCCATTTGCTTGCAGGTCCGTTATAAAGGAGAATATGAAAAATCTAAAGGTAAATTCACATTTGTCCATGATACCCCTCAGCAAATACATTTGAAAAATCTCTCTGCCTTTATGTCTGAGGTAAGATGCAAAATGTTTGGGAAATTATTAAGCAATATTTATGGTTCCAGAGTGACTGACACAATAACATATTTCCAGTTTCCTGCTCTGTTTTATAAAGCAGAATTAAGAACCAGTATTTTAATGAAATAAAGTATGCATGCACTGAGATGGCAGATTTTGTTTGCTCCCAGTCTTGTAGAAGAGCAAATGTAGATGTAATGTAACTGGAACTGCACTGAATGTTTCTCCCACTAACATAGTAACTGACAGGAAGTAGAACAGTTTCCCTCAAATCTGCTTTGATCATGGGAATACTCATCATTTCCTTCCCTCCAGATAGTCAGGACCAACCTCCAGACAAGTCATTTAGGCTTTCCCAGCCAATTAGGGATCATGCAGCTAATTATATTATTATTTTGTCAATTTTACTGGGTTTTGTGAAGTAATTCATGAGAACAATATATATATATATATATTCAAAATAAGAGCTCTACTATCTGTTGCTTGTTTGACTTATGTAGATCTGTATGCATTCCAGATATCTTTTTTACAGATCTCAACATTCAAAGAGAACAAATAGAATTCATCCATAGCTTAAAAATATGAGTGAAATGGAGGAAAGAAATTCTCAGTATCTAGCACATAGTGCTTACTTTGTTGTTACACTACAGCACATGGATTTCATATTTTATATATATTGAGAAGGATATACATGAATTTTACCTTTGTTAGATTCTCAGATATAGTGACCCTTCGGGTCTATAAGGATCCTTGAAAGAAGCTTTGGATATATTGGTTAAACTGGGCATTAGTTTTCCTAAAGAGTCAAGGAATTGCATAGTAGTTGTGTGTGTGTGTGGGGAGGAAATAGTGACTAAAAAGCTACTGGAAAATGCCATGTATATAAGTGAAATTACACAAGGGTTTTTGCAAATTTCTGTCTGTCATATATTAGGGAGCACAATCAAGTGCATGCATGACCTGACTAAGTCTAAATGTGCAACAGCCAGACAGAATTATAGCACATACTAGCTTCATAGTTTGGAACTTACAGTTGCACAAACCCAATAAAATTTTGGCCACTGTTTATTAAATATTATTATAGATCCATGTTATCAAAAGCAGTTCACAGAAACAGCAAAAATACCACAGTGAATAAACAAATAAAATTCAAACAGTTTGCATGGATAAGCCAGGTAAGAGTTTTTTACATACCAAATTCAGTAATTATGCTAGGGGTCATGAGGAAGTAATTTGGTTGGGTTATAGAGGGACAGGATTGCAGAGGGGGCGGTGAGTAGCAGGAACTAAGCAGCGTTGGTATGTTGTGGAGTGGCAGAGGCTGTTCTGAGACTAAGTCTTAGAAATGGGAAACAAGAAGGAGCATTTTATAAGCCCTTCCTGAGTAACAATGTCTGAAATCCTGTTCATGTAAGTTGCATGGAGTAAGCCTGATGACATCATCAACCAAGGCAATTTTTTCGAGAATAAACATTTCCTCTTCCCATTCCCTGCCCCTTGGAGGGGGAAGTCTTTGATTACAGAAAATTCCTGCCAGTGGAGTGACTTTTTCCCAGCAACTGCAGTTTTAAAAAGTTTTTAAATTAAAGACTTCCCCCTCCCGTTCCACAGCCTCTGCAGGCTTCCAGCTATGGTAGGGAGTCCTTGGAAACCATGGGTGGCTTGGTACTGGAGAGGGAAATGCTTATTATTCCAAAAATCACCTCTGCTGATGATATAATCAGCCTTAAACCTGAAGAATTTGCATGAGCAGGATTTCAAATAACACGTTTTTTTTAAAAAAATTAACTCAATTGGTGTAGTTTCCTGCAAAACCTGTGAAGATAAACCTTTTTAAAGCTGTAATCAGAATTGCAAAAATAGACCTGCGAACATTTGTTCTCAATCTAGAGCTGGCAATTCTATTTTTACATCGTCTTGTTGAAAGGCTTAATGTGGACCTTTGCATCTGAATGTCCTTTAAATTTATTCAAAATAATTGATGCATTACTTCTTTTTCTTTCTTACGCCTTCTAGGCAAAATACAAAGCGAAAGCAAAGAAAGAGCTTTCCAACTCGCTCTACCAGCAGATGCCAGCCACAATTGATAGCGTGTTTGCAAAAGAAGTTATGCAACTTCAGAGCAAGGTAAATTTAGAAATGCACAGTTTATCCATCTCCTCCTGATGTGCATGTGAACTGAGCACATTGAATATATCTGTTCACAGGGTAGGTACTGAGGCCTTCTTTGCTTTCAGTTGGGTGCTTGTCATGCTAGCCTGCTGCAGTATAATTGGTACATTTCTTCCTATAATTGGTATTATTACTTCCTCCTCCATAAAGAGGTCTAAGCAGCTCTACTCACCCTTGATTACTACAGGCAATTATGTGATCATAAACACATTCATCTTTAAGGCACCACATGACTTCTTTTGTTACGATCCATTGTGAACATTTTGTCTATAATCATGTTTAAGGCTGACTAGGGACTCTCACTTAGGATATGAAAATGCTTATTGGTAGTTGAGGTGAAATTGAGGACATGGTTTTGTGCACTGAGGAATTGGTGACTCTGTAAATTGAGTCAGAGTCCACGTTACAATTAGGAGCATATCTGTACCAGTCCTCAAATTTACAATTTGAGTTAAGGACGGGTGAACTTTTGACTTGGCATCTGCCCTGAGTTCCTCCATCTTTACTGGCCCAAGTTTATCTTTGCTCTTTCTTCTTAAGTCCCCTACAGTTTTCAACACCTATATAATGTGAAGAAAATAAAAAGCTGTATGAATCAATGGTCTGATTTGGCATGAGACCATTGATTCTTCCAGCCCAGTAATGTCCAAAATGACCAGCAGTTGCTCTCTGGGATTTCACACAGGAAATATTTCCCAATCCTTCTTAGAGAGGCAACAAATTGAATTTCAGACCTTTTGTATGCAGAGTAAATTATGTTATCAGTGAACGACGGTCCTTTAAAACATCAGCCATCAAGTCTGGGTTAAAGGAAAAAGAGAAATAGGTGTCATCAGAATTTAAAGTCCATGCTCTGAAGCTATAACCAATCTCTACGAGCAATTCGTTAAGATTTTAAATTGGCATAGGACAGAACATAGAACCTGGTGCTGCCCCAAAGCTCACATAGTCTAGGGTAGATCATTAGGGAGTCTGTGGCTATATGGTCAAATATGGCAGGATTTGCTCTTCCTATAAAACAGGTGGATTTGGCTTATTTTTTAAATATCTGCATGATATTCAAGCCAGATTAGATTCCTTCCAGCCTATTTCCAGGCTTATTTTCTCTGCCTGCAGAAGGCTGGATTCAATCATGTTTGTCTCCCTGCAGACATTCCGATGGGGGCATGTCTTTAGGTGGTGTTTTCATTTGACATAAGCACTTAGGACATGGTTTTCAGGACAGTGAGAGCATGCTCCCCTCATTCCTTTCCCCTAATTGCCCTCTGATGTTTTTTGTTTGTTTGTTTGTTTAAATGTATATATGCTCAAATTCTAGGGAAAATCGTATTTCTGAAGTGAATTTCTTTAGGTACTTTTATACTGTTGTTAAAAGGCATAAAGTCACAACAGGCTAGAGAAAGGCTAGAGAAAGGCTAGAGAAATGTACTTTTAACCTGCTCAAGAAAAAAGGATTTGTTCATTTCATACTTCATGTATTTCCACATTATTAATATATTCTAGGGCTGCTGAACTTTCCACATTATTAATATATTCTAAGGCTGCTGAAATTTCAACTAACACTGAGCTTTACTGTGTATGTATTGTGGTAAGAGATTGCCAAAAAGTGTCACAGAGTTATGGAGAAACAGGAATTAAATACGATTAACTTAAATAGAAATTAGTCTGTGTTACTCTCTGCTGCATCAGTGATGAGGCATTGCATTAATATAATACTTCAGTCCTCTGCACACACAAACACACACAAGAAAGTGGGGGGGGGGAATGAAAGACTTTTAGAACGCCAGTAATACTTCAGTCCTCTACACACACAAACACACACAAGAAAATTGGGGGGGGGAATGAAAGACTTTTAGAACGCTTCTCTAACCAAAGAGCTTTGCAGCTCACTATCAAAGGACAAGAGAGGTAGAGACAGTGGAAGGAAGGAAATAAGGGGTGTGTGTGGATGAGATTGTATCACAAACGGCATGAACAGGGAAGTCACAAATCAATCTGCAGCCCTTTTGAAATGTAATGCGGGCTGCAAATCAAATTGCAGCAAAGTGAAATCCTTCTGATTCAGCTTTCCAATATAGCCAGAGCCAAAGTTGGTAACCTAGGTGCCCAAAACTTTTCTGTTTCAGGAAATGGATAGAAATGAGAATTACACCCATAAATTCTTAACCTTGGCTGCCATCACACACAATTCAGTGTCTTGTCCTCACGTGGGAGATTATACAAATGTTCTGAGTTTAGTGATTATTTTTCTTCCTTGGAAATGGTCACCTCTCCTAATATACCAAAGACTTTCAGACTAGCTCTTTCTTAGGTTTACTATGTGGGAAGACTGGTCTTATTATTCTTAGTCTAGAGCAGCCATTCTCAACCCTTTTTTGTTTGCCATGGCCACAAACATAATATGAAAGAAACATAGACGGAATTAGGATTGTATAAATTGCATAATGAACCTTCTATGGTGGTGTGTGAATAATTGTTTCCAGTTTGTGGTCCCCTTCAAATGTGCAGGGTCCCTCTGGGCGCTATGCAGTCCCCATTGAGAATGGCCGGTCTGGAGTAGAGATGGGGGTATTCGTATTCATATACGAATATGAATATGCCCCCCACAGGTGGAGATAATGAGGGTCTGGCTCCCTGGGGCCAGACCGTCTACTCACCGTTCCGCTGCTGCCGCTGGTGCCGCACTCCCTTCCTGTCATTCCAGAGCTTGCTGTGGATTAGCCACTCTTCATCCTGGCAGAGAGGCTTGTCATCCTGCCTCCTACCAGGAGTGGCTAGTCCACCGTGAGCTCCAGAGTGATAGGAAGTTGGAACAGTGAGTGGATGGTCTGTTCCCTGGAGGCCAGACCCTTGTCATCTCCACCTGCGTGTGGGGTATTTGTATTTGTATCTCTAGTCTGGAGTAAGGAACAGATGGGCAGAGCAAATTGTGAAGTTTAGGTGGAAAATGTAATTTGTTCCTTCCAGACGTTGATCAAGGCGGGAAGTTGATGAGGGTTGCTTTTCTGGTTCGATCTGTACTTTCCAGAAATTCCCACAGAACCCAGTAGCATGGAAAATAGCTAAAAGCCCCTGGGGATTGGAGATTCTGAGCTGGTAGCCTGTTGAGCAAGTGAGAAGACTTTGAATCCAACATATTGAAGTCTACACCACATCAGGCCTGAATAGCAGACACAGATTACTGTATGTTGATTGTAATAAAGTATTCAATTCAATTCCTGTGCCTTTGCAGATTATGCTGCCTTCATGGCAAATCTCTCTGCTGAAATCTGCTGGTGAGATGGTTCTTCTACCTGAACACTAACCTACTGTTCATTTGGCCTTTGTTTTAGAGTAAGGATTGACCTTTTTTTGGGGGGGGGTTAGGGCCCTGGTCACATGAGAGAAATGTTCTTTAGTTATCCCCCAGTTATTTCGTTGCTTTTTTTCTGGTCACACAACGCACAGTGAACATTGAAACATTTTCCCTGGCAGTGATGTAATTGCAGAGCATTTCCCCTCACTGCGAGGGTTGTATTGTACCAGTACAACCTCTGTTGTACCAGTGCATTCCTTACTGGGATTACCTTTGTGCACGATCTGCCCTACGTCTTTTCAGAATCAAAGCCAGGAAGGTTCTGCCCTATGTCTTTTCAGAATCAAAGCCAGGAAGGTGGCCACCATTTCTGCACCATGCGTAATTGTTTTAAATTTTTTTCATAGCCATAACATTGATAAAAGGATTTCATGGGGAGGGGGCGCTGCTATCACATTACTGGTAGGTAATACTGTATATATATTTTCTATTTCTGTGGAAGATACATTGAACCATTGATATGCCAATGTCACCAGAGGGGAATGATCACCAGGATTACAGCATGGATTTTTTTTTCACTGCCTGGGCATAGCTGCCTGTTTGTACGTATGTCCATGTAGCAGCTGCCATCCTTTCTGCTGAGTGTGTGCTTTTTAAAAAAATGGTTGCTTTCGTACCAGCACAGCTATAAATGGCAATCCTATGTCCATTGTGTGCAATGTGCTTCCACAGGAGTAGCCAGTGCAACAGACACTTTCCAAAGCAGAAACCCCTTCCCAATATATCAATATATAGAGAAATCTTTTTTTAAAAAAAATAAGTAAAGGGTCTAAATTGTCCCATGAAGCAAGAGATAAAATAAACTGATACCTTGGTGTAGCTGCCCATGATGATTCAAATAGGAATAAATAAATTGGGAATGCTCAAAATGTTTGGGACATAAGAACATAAGAAGAGTTCTGCTGGATCAGGCCAAGGGCCCATCTAGTCCAGCTCCCTGTATCTCACAGTGGCCCCACCAGATGCCTCTGGGAGCACACGAGACAACTAGATACCTGTCTCCTCTCCTGATACCTCTCCCCTGCATCTGGCATTTTGAAGTACCTTCCTTTGAAGCCTGGAGATTATACATTCCCATCATGGTTGTAACCTGCGATGGACCTTTCCTCCAGAAAACTCTCCAATCCCCTTTTAAAGGCATCTAGGCCAGATGGCATCTCCACATCCTGTGGCAAGGAGTTCCTCAGACTAACAATAGGCTGGGTAAAGAAATAGTTTCTTTTGTCTGTTCTCACTCTCCCAAAAATTTGAGTGGATGTCCCCTGGCTCTAGTATTGCGCGAGAGGGAAAAGAGCTTCCCTCTATCCACTTTATCCATCCCCTGCATAATTTTCTATGTCTCAGTTATGTCCCCCCTCAGATGCCTTTTCTCTGGACTAAAGAGCCCCAAACGCTGTAGCCGTTCCTCATAAGGGAGGTGCCCCAGCCCAGTCATCATTTTAGTCACTCTCTTCTGCACCTTTTCCAGTTCCACTATGTTTATTTTGAGGTGCGGCGACCATAACTGTACATGATACTCCTAGTGTGGCTTTACCAGTGTTTTGTACAATGGCATTATAAAGTTGGCTGTTTTATTTTCAATCCCCTTGTTAATGATACCTAGCATGGAATTGGCCTTCTTTACGTTCGTCCCGATATATATACCATGTGACCACAGATCAGTACAACAGAGGTATGGAAAGTAATGGAAGACGAGAGGACATTCCCCTCATGTGACCAGGGACCTAGTTAATAATAGCACAATAATCATTACATTTGTAGCACAAAATCGTGTCTTAAAATTTCTGGGTAAAAAATTGATGGTTTTAAGTGGCTCTTTCCGATCGATTATAAATTGCATAATATTATACATAATATATTTGGTTTGATTTATAAATTAGATTAACGTATTAACACATTTTCCTTCTTGGCCCAAATAACATCATTACTTTATATAGATGTTTAAAATAATTTTAAGTAGTACAACAGAGCAAATATAATTGTGAGTCGATTCTTTGTAAAATCAAGAAGACTGGTGAAACTCTATCTTAGTGACACGTATTTTGCTCTGCTTGTAAAAAATATTCCTAAGGAACTGAATACTAAACTGTGCTTTGTTACACACTCAGTCTGAAATTCACATCCGCTTTAAGAGGACATACATAATATATCTTATATGTAGCATGAAGTGGAAAACCTGTAGACATATTTATTTCCCATTTGTGGCATAAATCATTGTATTCTGCTGCAAAAGCTGAGAAAATAGAACAGTTTCCACTCATTGGTTTTTCCAAATATTATGCCTGCAAGGAAAATGAAAGAGGAGACAGTGTGCTTTACAGCACAGTTGAGATTTGCCCCTTCCCACGCCATCCTCCTCTACCCTGTATCCTCCCAAAAGCACAATGTTCATGCGCAGGCAGATTTGACATATGCTGGAGGGAAAAAAGTAGTAATATTTATACTGGGTTCTCTTTTGTTTTCCTGCCCCACCTCTCTATATTTATAGTGGCTTCAGTGCCCTCCGTGACTTACAATAAAGTCATGCAGTTGCAAAGGAATCTGTATTGTTTGTGACTGATTTGCTTTATTTTCTAAAATGAAGGTTGCTTGTGACCAGCTGATTTATAGCATGAATATTAACAATGAAGTCTTGGAGGCATGTTGGAAAAGAAAACATCTGGCCAAGAATATGTCACTTTCAAGAGTGAAACCAAATAACTATTCCTTACTGATTACACTTTTTAGTATGGAAGAGTTAACTGAACTCTCACCCTTCAGATTGTCACATATAAGAATTTATGAATGAATGTAAGGTTTCTAAAATATTATAGAGGAGAAAACACAACAGTGATAACTAGCAAGGAAACCCCAAGATGTATTTATATTTATTTATTGTTATTATTTATTTATAAAACACAGTATTAGTCAAAAACATTTTGCTGCCTGAAGCAAAATACAAGTTGGCATCTATATCACATTATAACGTATCTGAAGTCAGCAAGTTATTTTGGAACCTAAAGATGAAAAAAAAACCACAAGGTACTACTTCCCCTCCAGCAAAACTGTGGTAACAAATTTAATAACTACCAATTTGTTGCCTTTGGATGACATTCAGAATCTACTACCTGAGGCAGATGCTTCACTCTGCCTAATTATGGGCCTGACCCCGAAGCTACCTTAACATCAGGTGTGTTTTACAGGCCTACAAATGAAAGATAGGTTCTTGACTTGCAGAGTTTACAATCTAAAATGATATACAAGGTCAAGTTACAGAGAGAGAAGTTACAGATAGAAGGATAAGGTGATAGGAAAGGTAATGGGAGAAATATATGTTGAATTCCATTATGTATACTTCAGCCTAGTCTCATAAGGATGAGATTATGCCAAATGTTACAAAGGGAAAGTATACTTTGAACAACTTCTTTACAGCATGAATGGGTAACTTCTGTGGCTCTAAGGGTTAATTACTCCCCTCTATAGGATCCATTTGGGGCTCACTCTCTCCGCCAAACTTCAGTGGCAGCCTGAAGGAACAACATTGTAAAGCAGGAATGGGCACTCCCAAAGGGTCATGGATGAAGTGGATCAGGGCATTCCTAATTAGTTAAAATTCCTAATTAGCTTATTTTCTTGTTTGTTAATTTTTTTAAAAAAATAGATTGCAGTAATTCAATTCTTTAAACTCTGTGAAATTGAAATATGAGGAAGTTGCAGCACTATATGTAGATAATTGCAAGTGAATGGACTGCTGTTCGAACAACATAGAATCATAGAATCTTAAAATAATTGCGTTGGAAGGAGCCTATAAAACAATCGAGCCCAAACCCCTCCCCCTGCTCAGTGCAGGAATCCAAATCAAAGCAGATCTGACAGATAGTTTTCCAATTTTCTCTTGAATGCCTCGTCACCTCCCAAGGTTATTGGTTCCATTGTTGTGCTGCTCCAACAGTTAAGACGTTTTTCCTGATATTCAGCATGAGGATAAGTAGCACCAGCTTTTATAATTGCAGTTTTTTGTAATTAAGGTGACACATTTGTCTCTTAAATGGTAGAAATGGGTTTCTATGTATTATGTATTCATCAAAGTACAGTGGTGACTCGCTTAACGACATTAATTCATTCCAGCGAAATCGCTGTAGAGCGAAAACATCGTAAAGCGAAATAAAAAAGCCAATTGAAATGCAATGAAAACCGTTCAATGCATTCCCATGGGCTGAAAACTCCAGTGAAGATCCGTCCAGTGAAGATCCTCCATAGGGGTGCCCATTTTCGATGCCTGTAGAGTGAGGAATCTGTCCAAAAACACAGCGGGGACCCATTTTGAGCACCTGACGGCCATTTTGAAAACCCGACGATCAGCTGTTTTGATCGTCGTAATGCGAAGAATTGGTTCCCGAAGCAGGGAAAAAAACTCATTTAAAACATATTTTTTGCGATCGCAATTGTGATTGCAAAAACATCATCGTGAAGCGGATTCGTCGTTATACGGGGTAATCGTTAAACAGGGCACGACTGTATTCTGAAAATATCAAAAGATGAAGCAGTGTTTTTGAAAGAAACAGATGAAGAAAGGAAGGCACAAAAATTATTTGGTTTATACTAATTCCATCACTCCCGATAAAAGAAACCAAACCCATAGGTGTTCCCTATCTGGGAAACAGAGTGATGGAAAAAATTAGAAAACTAGAACATATTAGCAGGTTGCTCAGTAGTTCTATAAATATATTTCTTTTTAAGCATGTGACAAAGATGATGAATTTGTAGTTTTGATCTGACTCTAATTTTTTTAACTGATACATATTATGTAAGAAAATTAATATTTGACTTCAGCTAATAGTTTAAAGATATAGGAATTCAAAATTCCAAGGTTTCCATTTACATCTAGATTAATCAAAGTATTTTTCTTTTTGTTTCTTAAAAATAAGGTTGTGGGGGGAATGTAATATATCAACTTGCATATTTTGTAATCCTGCAATTATTTTACAAGAAATTTAAATTAATTACTTAAAGAAGTTCTATAATATTGAATATTGTTAAATTATAAATCAATAGTTGGGGGATTTCTTTGTCTTGTAGCTAATTTTTAATTGTGTGCCATATTTGGAAAAGTTACTTTGGAATATACTCCACTGAACTCAACAGATCTTTCTGAGTGAAAACTAAATTGCACTGTTCATGAAAAAAACTTGAAAAATTGGTATAAGAAAATAAACCCTCTTTCTATATCCCTCATAATAGATAATATTTGAATTATTTTGTTTTAAGGTTCTGTATAAACAGAAACATACTGATGAAAAGGGAATGTCAAGTTATGCTCAGATGAAGGAGCCTCCAGATGTTAAGCATGCCATGGAAGTTAGTAAACACCAAAGTAATGTAAGTGCTTTTCTCTGTTGGTGTTCTTATCTGTGCTATAAATGAAACGTATTTTTCGCACTGGATAGATTCATAACTAAAAAGATCTATCATGTCAATCTATAAGCTGTTAGTAGATTCCTGAATGATTTCACTGTAATACTTTGGAGACAATATAGTGAAATAATGCTTTTAAGGAAATGTTATATTTATGAAATTTTATTTGTGAAAAGCAGTCCAATCATTCTAAGAAAATTTTAGAAATATACACAAATAGGGCAGGAAATGTTAGTTAACACATTTGCACATACACACGTTACATGGAATATTCATGGTTTCTCATTCTTATCTATTTTTGCAGTAGCCAGAATTTTATAGGAAATTTAAATATACGTAAATGAAACTATGGAAGTTATTGATGCTAATCTCATTTACATATATTGTGATGTACATGACTTGACTTGTGTACATGAATATTGTCACTAGGATTCTGATTGCTCTATTGGACCAAGAAAAAAAGCCACATGTTTCTTGTACACCTAAAATAAGGATGGGTGGTACCTTTATTGAACCAGTAAAATCTCACAGACAGAAGTCATCATTCAAGTCTTCCAGGAGCCTTAATCTGTCTGAGTGTTAGAGATGGGGTGATTCGGAAGAAACAGAACAGTTAAAAAAACATAGCTAGATGCGCTCATTTTTAAAAAACAAGTTCCAAAATGGGAGTTGCAGAGTTACCATGAGAGTGTCTTTAGGTTTCTTCTGTAGCAATGTGGATTAGATAGTCACTCTCCCAGTCTTGTTAGACAAAGAGCTTCTAGTCACTCTGCATCTTCTGCTTGATATTGATATTGAAACACCTTTGAGGCCAAGAGTCAATGGCTTGTGAGTTAGGGAATGAATAGAAGGATTTCCAGTCTGAATTTTTCATGTCCAGGCTCAAAACTCCTCTACTGGACTCATGTCACATCATCATGCCAGTTATTCTATTTCAACCAGTTATAGTTCACATGTTATAAATATGGGGAATTATGGTAACTGGGAATCACACTCTAGTTTTACACTGATTTGTTCTTGTTTACTGAATAGAACTGACATTTGTCACTTCTTATCATCTCAAAAAAATAGAGCCTTTAGTTAGCCCTCAGAAATATGTATTCACAGAAACTAGCCTATTTTCTTGAAAGAGATTTTGGAAACTGTTAAATTGTAATTGAAAAGATAACATTTTCTGACAATATTAGCTCAATACTGCTAAATTCAGATCTACAGTACTTAAAGTTGCTATCTTCCATGCTTGGAAGTCTCCTTAGCCAATACCTCTGACAAATTCCTACAAAGTAAAAGTACAGGGATGCCCCCAGACTATGGAACGCCCTCCCAACTGAAATTCGCCTGGCGCCGACACTGATGATATTTCGGCGCCAGGTCAAAACCTTCCTGTTCCAGAAGGCTTTTAATTGAAATAACATTAACTGTGGGTCTTGATGATGGCAATTTAAATTTTAATTTGTATTTTAATCGTATTTTAATCATTTTATATTTTATTGTGTTGAATTTTAATTGTTGTAAGCCGCCCAGAGACCTTTGGGTAGAGTGGGCGGCATATAAATTAAAAAAAAAATGTTACATGCCCATGTATATATCCCATGTGGCACCTTGAAGACTAACTGCTATATTTTAATGAGAACTTTTGTGGACAAGTCCACTTCTTCAGACATAAGAGTGTCAGTTTTTTTTTAAGTTTCCTTGAATTTTTTTTTACTGGACTATAACGCCTGGATTTTTCACCCACCACAGCCAGTGGCCATGCTTACCAGAGATCTCTGAGAGTGGAGGACTAGGAATAAATTCCCAGTAGTGTAGCCAAGACCATTTTGTGTAATTGGAAAAGTAATACATTTTTATTTGGCTTACGCTTCTGTGGACCACACCTAGCGCAAGTGGCTATAATCCACAAAACCTCAAAGCATGCTAGTCCAAAAAAGGTACTTCTGGTCTCAATGTTGGCTAAGATTAGGGATGCACTGAATGCTCAGCTGTAGAGTTTTCAAGGTAAAAGTAATGACCTATTTGTACCTACTCCAGTTGGGGGAAAATGCTCCCACATTTCTTTATGGTTGTTCACAACTGTGAAACTATTGTTTCCTGTTTTTTTTTTTTTAAACTATTTTGCTACCATTTTCTCTTTCTTGGCTTCCAAGAATCATGTGTGACTATATCACTAGATGTGCAATCAGGTCATTGATGGAAATTTCCTAACGCTGATCAAAATCCTGTTGCTTAGTGAAGTAAATCACACTAAAGTAGGCTAATTGAATTAGTGTGTGTGGTGCACAAGCCTCCCTAAGGAGCGCTTAGTACTCAGTCAGAGAGTTCCACAGGCCACTTACCTACCACCTTTGCGCTGGCAAGTCCTAAAACCTCAGCAGTGCATAGCGTAAGCTCCTTGAACAAGTCTGGTCTTAAAAGAACACTTTACTTTTACCCAGTACACATGGGCTTTGTAATTCCTTAGAATTCAAAACACCTCAGTTAGGTAGGACTCTCAGTGATTGCTAGTTTGTAGCCCTCTCCACATCTTGGATTTAGCCAGACCCTGCTGTTCAAGAGACCAGTCCTTTGTAAGAATCTGTATAATTATTTTTATTAGAAAAATAGAGTTTCATAGAATCAGTTTATATTGCTCAAGCTTTAGCATAAGGAACATATTCAAAGATTATTACAGTTAAATAAAATAACGAATCCCCATTAAAATAAAAAACACTACTAAGCTGGGCTAGCCCCACCTCGTCCTTCCTCTTCACTTACATTCTCTCTCCTTCAAGCCACATGCTTAAACCATCAAGTTCTTTCTCTCTCCCATCATCATGGAATTGAACCTCTCCCACATAACCCATTGTCCATTTTCTACATTATTCGGACCTCCTTCTTCTTGACCGTAAACCAATCAACTCAAAGAGGCGTAACTGTCCATTCCACCCATAATTCTCATGAAGATGCAGGTGTTTTATCTCTACTCCAATTAGCTCTGAATGTTGAGTCTTTCACGGGGCCCCTTGGTTCGACCTTCAGCTTTATCACGAGCCACGCTGTACTGTTCTTCAATTCTGTAAGTTTATTCATATGGGTCTATTCTCATGGAGACTAGCTGCAGTTGGAGTAGGCCTATTTGAGTCCGTGGAAGAACTGACTCACTATATCCCCATCGATTCAGTGGGCCTACTCTTGTGCAATTGATTATTCTGAGCAACAGGATTCTGACTGCTGTTTAACAAGCTGGGGGTGAGGAGATGCTTCTGAACAAAGACTCCCTGTCTTGCAATCATTGCCATGAAGCAAGTGACAGCTGGCAATGAAAATGCCACAGCACCGTGTAGCATAACAAGGAGTATTGGCCTAGTTGCCTTAGCAACAGGGAGATGTCCACTTCCCTGACACTTACAATGCACAGGCACCTTTGTGTCCTGTGTAAAGTCATTAAAAACAGTGCTGCTTTCATGTTGCACTAAAGGGTTTCCAACTAGCTTCCCCTTGTTCTGGCTCAGGTATAATTACAATTATTCCGGGACTCTGCTCTGTTCCATAACTTAAGTATTTTCAATGACAATATATAAACAATGTATTACAGAAGTTTACAAAATGTTTGTGTCTTTCTGTTCTTTCCAAGATAGTTATATCTTTGCCCAGGTGGAGGAAACTGCTGCATTATTTTTTTAAAAAATGACATCCATGCATTTCTCACCCCCCCCCTGAAATATTAAAGCATCTTGTGGCACCTTTAAGAGTATCACATTTTATTTGACATAAGCATTCATCGATTGTAGTCCACTTCTTCTGATAAGGGTGCAAGAACAGAGAGGCCCAGAGCGCACAGACCCAACAAATTCCTTCCTAATTGGAATTGAGATAAAACATCTGCAACTTTATGAGAATTATGGGTGAAATGGACAGTTGCGCCTCTTTGAGTTGATTGGTTTATGGTCAAGAAGGAGGAGGTCTAAGTAATGTAGAAAATGGATGATGGGTTATGTGGGAGAGGTTCGATTCCATGATGATGGAGAAAGAACTTGATGGTTTAAGTATGTGGCTTGAAAGAAATAGAATGTAAGTAAAGAGGAAGAAGGAGGGGGGGGGCTAGCCCACTTTAGCCCAGTTTAGTGTTTGTTATTTTTAATGGGAATTAGTTGTTGTATTTAACTGTGTATTCTTTTAAACATGTTCTTTATCCTATACTTAAGCAAAAACAAACTGTTTCTGTGAAACTATATATTTTCTTAGCAAAAAAGTAATCATAAAAATCTTCAACATGGATTGTCTCTTGGACTCAGCAGGGTTTGGCTAAATCCAGAGGTGTTAATAGCCATTGACTAGCTACCAGAGAAGTCCTAATTAACTGAGCTGTTGTGAGTTCTTAAGAAGTACAAAGCCCATGTGCCTGTACTTGCAAAGTACTGAGCAAAAGTTAAGTGTTCTTTTAAAGTCAAGCTTATTCTAGGCGCAAAGGTTATTCACTGCTGGAGGTTGAGGACTTGCCCCAGCGTAAAGGTGGTAGATTTGTGGCTGACGGATTCCCTGACCGAAGGATCCATGCTCCTTAGGGAAATTTGGTTCCTAACACTGATGAGGTGGTGCAATGACTAGGAGCTTATTGGAGAAACTTCTTTGCCATCTTTGCGATGAAATTAACCACACTTACTTCATTGACTCTTGGGAACAGTAAGTGGTAAAATTGCTCCAGCTTCCCCTCCCCCAAGAATCTCTGCATTTTACAGTGTGTCTAAACTGATAGTTTCAATCTTAGCTTTTGTTTTGAGCACATACGCTAGGCTTTAATTTGCAATTTACAAGGATGATGGGGTCATTTTCAGAAACCTGTTCCTGCTGCCTTTATAGCATTCACTTCACCTCATCTGGTTAGGGTGAAGAGCATATAATTAGCTAAATATATGTAATGCTCTGAATTGCAGGAGTCTGGATGGCTTTGTTGTAGACATTCTTTTTAGAAGTCGGTACAGCTATAGTGGACTATATTAATTTATCATCAGAATTCGGAAAGTATCTTACAAGAAGAATAAATACAATACATGTGGAAAACAGCCATAACTGACTAATGGTAGGATGTTGCTGTGGCACGCAGAGCAACAGCCTACTGCCATTTAGTGATGGATGGCTTCCACATGCTATTACATTCATTATTTTTTAAACTTACTTTTATTTCTGCTATATGTCATTTAAAGAATATATTGAACAAAATTAGATGGCGGATAGAAAATTAACAAAATAGTTTGTAGTTAATTAAGAGAGACTAGAGAATTACTGAAGACTAAGTATGTATATAAATAAATACATACATACATAAATACATAAATACATACAGTAAATGTTATATGTTTATTGCACACATGTGCATATAATTACCTAAACATATTGTATATAATGCAAGTCAATCAATCTTTATTTGTGGTCTCCGACCCAATAGAATACATATATGTAATATTTAAAATAGATGTAAACAATTTAAACATTTCAAGATAGTTAAAACAGTGTAAATTAATAAAATAGATTACCCATGTTAGGTAGAGGTCAAGATTGTCTTTTGTATTCTTTGGGCAGAGAGAAGGAATTTGGCCACTGATTCGGTGGTCATCTTGTTTGTGTCGCTTAATAAATATTTTGTATGCCATACTATCAGAGTCCTAGCTGGGAAGACATTCATTATGGGCTTGAGGAATTTTATACACTCATTTCTGTAATAATTACACTCAAAAAGGATGTGCTTCGAAGTTTCAATTTCTCTATCCTTACAATTATACAATCTTTTTTCATAAGACGTGCCAGAATATCACCCATCTAAAATTGTGGATTGGAGACAGTTAAATCAGGCTCTTGAGAAGACCTGCCTGTATTTTGGGATAATCAGATTCGGGATAATCAGAAGAATCTGGGATAATCAGATTCTTCAAATACCTAGTACTTTGGGAGAAATTATAATTTAGGCCGAGGTGCAAGATGGACCATGTTTTGCAAGCCTTTGAAATAGAATATTAAAAGTCAATGTCCCTTATCCATTTTTCTAGGATAGAGTTGGCTGCCTTGGGTTTCTGGGCATAAAGAAAGTCCCTAGAGAGCCCTAATAGATGCAGTTTGGCTGGAAAGGTTTTAAACCGTGAGATATTATGGAAATCTTTCTGTACAAGGTTAAGATATCCCATGGAGGGATCAGCATGTATTACCTTATTCCAATATCTAAAACAAAGAGCCAAGCACTACATTCTAATCATAAGGGAGCTGCAGGGATGCATCTTGGCATTCCCAGAACGGATCTTAGAAAAATTGAAAGAACACTCTTTATACTTGTGTGAAATCCTAGAATCCAAGTTGGTATACCATATAACAGTTGAGGCAGAATCTTAAGCTTAAAAACTTGAATAGCAGCTGATATAAATTGCCCCCCCTTAATAAAGAAAAACCACAAGATAGCTTTCTGCATGTTCTGGGCTGCTTGGATTATGGACCGTCTATGGGCAGCCCAGGAAAGTTTATGGTGGAATATACAGTGGTGCCTCGCTTAATGAGCGCACCGTTTAATGACGAATCCGCATAGCGACACATTTTTTGCGATCGCTAATGCGATCGCATTGCGATGTTTAGATAGGCCAAAAATC